AGAGAGAGAGAGAGAGAGAGAGGNACCCCCAAGATGACAAACTTGTTCTGGATCCCAGTGAGACAAATGTTTTCTGAGAAAGAGAGAGAAATTAAAATTAGGTCGCGAGATCATAACCTCTTATCTTTACGTGTTTGCAAGGACTCTACCGCGCGGTTTATTCTTTTTAAATATAAATTTAATAAAATAATACATAAAGGGCAAAGTTTATATAGAGCCGCGGCTCTAAACAATCAAATTTGAGCCTACCACAAAAATTGCACTTGAAGAGGTTGTGTTGATGCTGAAATATCTTCAAAGTGATCATCTCGACATCAAGATGCACGAACATGAGAAAAAAAATGGATCTCAAGTTTTGGAAATAGTGTATTTTGTGACGCATTTTTGGATCGTCAATTTTCAAGATTTTTAAGTTTTCATAGAAATGTCCATCTACATTATTTTTTAATCTTTAAACTTTATAAATGAATATAAAAATATATTTTAAAGCTTTCACAAACATTTCTAGTATTGAAACTACATTTCTCAATACTATTTGAAGGTAGGCTCTAATTTGATTGTTTAGAGCCTAGGCTCCTCTATATAAACCGCACCCATAAATAAATTAAAAAAAAAAAAACTACCTCTCTTATCTCTTAAAAACAAGTTTAACATATCATAATCAATCCAATCAATGCTAATCTCTATTTATATCCAGCTTCCTTAAAAAAAGTTAAATTTCTAATTCTATCTCCTGAATCTCTAAAACTAAGTAGAAAAAGTTTATATAGAGCCGAGGCTCTAAACAATCAAATTAGAGCCTTTCTCAAAATTTTACTAGAAAAGGTTGTTTGATACCCAAATATCCTCAAATTGATCATCTCCACATCAATATGTCTGGACAAGAGAGAAAAATAGATTTCAAGTAGTGCATCTTGTAATGCATTTTAGACCGTCAATTTTCAAGTTTTTCAAATTTTCATCGATAAGCTCTATCTACACTATTTTTTATGCTTTAAATTTTATAATTAAAAATAAAAATATATCTTAAGGATAACAAAAGGATTTCCATTATTGAAACCACATTTCTTGATACTATTTGAAGGTGGGCTCTACTTTGATTGTTTCGAGCCACGGCTTTATACAAACTGCACCAATTCTAAATTTGAAGGAATTTACGTGGAAATTTGTACACTTACGCCTGCAGGCAGACGAGCCCCTAACTTTTCAACAATTTTGTGAGAAATTTTTCATGGAGCCAAACGAGCCCCTAATTTTTCAACAATTTAACAATTTGTTGTTTTCCAACTATTCTAACTGAAGGTCATGCATTTTTTGATGCTTATTCTGAATTCAATCAAAAGATATGGGTAAGATGTTGAATATTTGATCTCTTAGGTGTATTTTGACAAAATTTTTCCGAGAAAGAAAAAAAAATCTCAAGGAAAAACATTACAAAATATTCCATGTCGAGTAGTTGAATAATCTCTTAAGGAAAAACATTAAAAAATGCAGAATAATCCAAGAAAAACAAAAAGGAATGCATAAAGAAAGAAACGATGTTGGTGTTTATGGTGAAATGTTTAGGACTTGATTTACTACAGTGTGAAAGTCATGTGTACATGATGAATGCACACCAAGACAAATATCCAAGCGGTCCTCAAGGTTCACTTTTGATTGCCCTTTCCCACCACTACCAACTTGTTAAGGAAAAAGTATATAGAAGGGTGAGGCCCTAAACAATCAATGTTAAATATTTCAAATATTAAGTATAATTTGATAAATTTCTCTTCTTTTTTTTTAGCAAAATAAAAAAGAAATCGTCCAAATTTCTATGTGGAAGGCCAAGGGTTGGGAGTTTCAATCTTTGAATTGCATTTTACTTAACTTAAGAAGAAAGAAAGCACAATAAACAATAGCTGACAATCCTAAATATTTTTCAAATGGGACTTGAAATAATATGATCATGTCAAATAAGTAAATCACGAATAGAGCTAATCAAAATTCTCATTGTACGTCTGTTTTTTATTTCTTCTATACAAGGTTTTAAAAATGGATCGTAACCCGGATCACCAATCCAGAAAATAGGTGTGGATCGGTGAATTGCCAGATCGGAGATCCAGCCAATAAAAAATTTAAAATAATTAGAGAACAGAAAATCGGAAAAGTTTACAAATTAAGGGTGGGGCAAGTTCTTTGAGGGACTATGCCAATTCTAGATATTTTGCGGCAAGCGGACCAGCCCCTCTCGCTCCCAATCGTCCGGTTCCGATATTTGTAAATCAAACACTAGCTAGAAGTTTTCATCTTTACAAGCATTATAACCTGTACAATATTTTTATGCCAAAGCAATATTTTAAAACCTAGTGATTTCGGATCCAGATTGCCAATTTGACTGGGAATTAGTAGGGACTGACGAAGTTACGAGATTGTATAGGTCGTGAACCGGTTCCCCCTTAAAACCCCTTTCATATATTTTTCCTTTTTTTTTAAGCTTATTTAACACTTTCATTGGTCACTTCTGAACCTACCCCTATATATCCCTACTTTAATTTTTATTTTATTTTATTCATTTTTAATATTTCTTGAATCATTGATTGGGACCGATCCAAACCCTATCTGAATCGCGATCCAGCAATCCGACCGGATCCGGATCAATTGGTGAACGATCTACGCCACCAATAAAAATTTTGAAACATTACGCAAAAGTATATATTTAGATTGTTTTCTTTTACTATAAAGAGGTCGAATCGCCGACAGGTATCGGATATGGAATCCATGGTACACTCGAAGTTTAATAAATTTTTCTCAAACTTTGTATCACACCCCTAGCCTTTTAATTTCGTATCAAACGGTTATGACCTCTTTATATTTAATATAAATTATCCTAAATCATCTTACAATTACATTCCCTAATGTTATAAGCTAGAAAAAGTTATGTACACTAATATTAAACAAAGGAAAATGAAAGACTAAGCAACCAGCAAATAATTCTAAACATGGTTGGGCACATGTTCATTGGGCATGCACAGGCATTCCTTTGGGAGTACCACACCTAACTTCTCTCTCTAAAAGATAATATGTCTCTATTCACAATCACAAGCTTCCTCAAATGGGGTTAATTGTTTGGTCTTTTATAGACCTACTCCATGATTTACAGGACACAAGTTTGTCTACGTATGTCTTCAAAATTATTTATTTTGGTAGGGTAATTTGGGTGGTTAACACCTCTAGTGGGACTCTAATGTTTTAATTTTTATTTTTATTTTTAGTCAAATGAGAGAATATGAACTATGAACTTAGTTTCATGTAGTTTTAAAAATTTTCACTTTTGAGATCCCTTGTAATTCCAAATTTCAGCTAATATAAGTCGATAACTATTTAACTTGGCTGCATTTGCATATGGTTTTTAGCGCTTGTTCACACGCTAATGACACGACATGTTTGATATTTAAAAAACTTAGAACAATTTTTTGCAACTTTTTTCTTGTTAACTTTTGTGTTGAAATAAGGCTATATAGATATATTAATGTCACTTGAGACCGCACCTCCGTTTTTATATAAAGGAAAAAGTTTATGTAAAGATGCTACTTTAACTACGGATGCCCCTCAAAAATCCATCGGAAAAGATTTTAATGTTGAAAAACCCTTTGATTGATCATCTCGACATCGAGATGCATGAATATAAAAAATAAAAAGATTTTGAAGTCTCAAAAATGGTGCATTTTACAATATATTATCTACACCGTCCATTTTCAAGATTTTCATATGTTTATATATCTACTTGATTTTAACCATTTTTGAAATTTAAAATTTTATAATTAGATATAAAAATAAATTTTGA